GCGCCAGACTCCGCTCCGAAAGGCGGCGCACGGTGACGGCGTCGCCATGGAGCCGAGGGCGGGTAAGGCGCGCGGGGGCGCAGGAGAGACGGGTCGGGGTGCGGGGAGCCGGGGACTGTAGGTCTCACTCTCCGAGGCCTTGTAGGCGCCCCCGCCCCCGGCGTCAGGGTAAGACCCTAGAAAGAACGAGGCCGGGCATGGTGGTGCACGCCTGTAATCCCAGAACTCGGGAGGCTGAGGCAGGAGTATCGCGAGTTGGAGCCCTGCCTGAGCAGCTCAGTTGGACCCTGTATCAAAATAAAGCAGAATCCCTTGAAGATGACCATGCAGGCTCCTCTACCTACGCGGTGGAGCGCAGGGCCGTACCATTGTGTAGCCACAGCACCTGACGCGAGACTGAGACGTGAGGTTGGAAACCAGTTTACTCGAAAGTCGTGCTTGGCCATGGGTCTCCTCCCAGGTCACAGCTTGGATTCCACGGAGGCTTCCAGAACCCCAGGCCCGTGGGTGACCACTGTGGGAGGAGCCTTGTGCAGGTCTCCTGGGCCGCAGGCTGTGCGAGGCCTGTTAGGCCCAGGCCATGGCCCCTGGGGACAGATTGCGTAGACCTCACGGTGCCCAGGCGGTCAGGCAGCGGCAGGGCAGGGCCACCGGGCTGCCTGGCTGGGCCGAGCCTGCTGCATGGGGAGCAGGAAGTCACAGCACGGCTGGCTTTGCACACATGAGGTGTTGCCCACTTTCTCAGCTTGCTAAGGCCAAGCGCCCGCTCTGTCCTCTGTGTCTCACCTTCCGCTCCGTCCCCTACAGCGCTGGATCTCATGGGGTCGTCGCCCCGAGCAGGACCCCCTGTCCCTTTCCTGCCCACAGAACCGGCAATGTGGGGGATCCTGGTCCCTCCCTTTGTTGATGCGCCTGAGGTGGGGACTCGCAGTGACCGTCCAGTGTCAGTGCTGTGGGACAGACCCAGGCAGGGATGTCCCCAGGTCCCCCAGGGTGGGCATCTGTCAGCCTGAGGGGCAGAGTAGGTGCACAGCACCCGCTGTGTGCAGCCAGAGCTCGGGGTCCGGGAAGGGACCTGGGCCTGGAGCTCTTCTGATGCTACTGTGACCTGCGTGTGACGCACAGTGTGGCAGTGTCTGGCACTCATCACCGGGGAAACCTTCCTGTTCTCCCGATGGGTCACCACACTGTGTTCCACAGGTGTCTCCAAGCAGGAAATCCGGGAACAGATCTGGAACTACATGGAAGCTCACGGCGTGGCGGACTTCCCTCGACCTGTTCACCACAGGATCCCCAACTTCAAGGTAGGAGCCTTGGGAAGGAGGAGCCGATCCTGTGTGGGCAACCCTGGGCACTGAGTTCAGGGGCAGCGGGTGAGACCCACAGGGCTCTCTGTGGCTGGCCCTCCCCTGCGGGATAGCCGGCTGAGCTCTGCTGGATACAAAGTACAGAGTTCTGTTTGTTTGTTTTGTTTTGTTAGAGTTCTGGGGATTGAATCCAGAGCTTTGCCCTGAGCCCACCCACTCCCACCCACTGCCGCCCTTTTCTATTTTTTATTTTGAGATAGGAGTTTCACTAAGTTACTGAGTTGCCAGGGCTGGGCTTGAACCTGGGATCCTCCTGCCTCAGCCTCCCAGTGGCAGCCAGAAGCATGTTGCTGCCCTGACACCATCCACATAACTGACCTCCCTGCGGACAGCAGAGCCCAGGCCCTAGGAGAAAAGTATGGCTTGCCTGTCTCTGGGCCTCAGTTTCCCTGCTGTTCAAAACCTAAGATGCCGGTTCATGATAGTTTTCATACAAAAATGTTTGCTTGGAAGAAGCAACGTAGCACGTGGTCTTTGGCTGTGTATTTTCCAAGAGAAAGGGAAACGCTTTTGAAAACACATGGACAGCGGTGCCAGGCCTGAAGGACCCTGCTGGAGGCTCACCAGCACCCCCGGCTGGACTCTGTCCCCAGGCAGGGCCAGCTGTGGCCCTCACTGGTTCCTAGCTAAGTACCCCCCCCAAAGCTGTTCTTTTGTGTGGTTTTCGTCATTACTGTGCTGTTTTAGCACTTGTTACCTGAGGGAGAGAAAAGCATGTGTAGGATGGGGAAGGCAAACGATGCAGGGTCATTTAAAACTCCCTTAAAATGAATCTCCTGGGCCAGACACAGTGGCACAGACCTGTCATCCCAGGACTCAGGAGGCTGAAGCAGGAGGATCACCAGGAGTTCAAGGCCAGCCTGTTACATAGCAAGACCCTGTCTCAAAAAATAAACAACAAATAAAGGAGTAAACAGATAAAGTAAATCCAATGTTTCCCGGTCCAGGCACTTGGGCGCAGGGTGTTTGCTCTGTGCTCCTGACCGAGCCTCGGCCTGAAGCCTGTGCCTTATTTCTGTGAAGACCAGGTCACCAGCTGAGTCCGTCCCAGCCCACCCCTCTCGTCCCCACAGTGGGCAGCGTTTGCTCAAGCGCAGACTGGTCAGGCAGCCTGGGATTTGCTGCCCCCGACATAGCTGAATATGTGAACCGACCGAGGCAGGAAGTTAAGGGGATGAACACAGAGAAAATTCTCTGATGCTATGTGGTTATTTCTTACATAAAAATACAGTCACGCACAACGTTACCGAAAGGAGAAAATTTCAGTGGCCTAATAGAGAAACACATAGGTCCATTCGTTGTAGTCAGTGAATAGTTTCCTCATCACCTGACAGTTTTGGGGACCTAGAGCCAGTGTGTAAGTGCTGTCTGTGCCCCGTGATTGCTCACACCAAGCTCACGCACCAAGTGCTTCAAAAAAACCGTGAGATGTGATTTACCACACATCGTGAGAAACCACGAAGGTAGGCGTCTGCCGTGAGTAAAGGAAACATTAGTAATAAATGCTTTTGTTTTGTTTTGCTTTTTAGTACAGGGGGAATCAAACTCGGGTCCTCACATAGGTGAGGAAGGTGGCGCACCACTGAGCTAATCCCTGGTCCCGTAATAACGTTTTAGAAAGGATCTTTGACAATGTGACAGATGTTGTAGAGAGTGCACTAGTAAAACATGAGACGTAGTGGACCCTCGAGTCACAAGACTTGATATATGAACAACTTGGGTTATAACCCGACTTTAGCTTTGACGTACGACCAGAATCTTGAGTTACAACCCAAACACTGGCCCCTTGTGCTTCCAGATGGTCTCAGATTCAGATCGAACCCTTACAGAGTTCTGGAAGGAAAATGACAACACCCTTTCCTGCGTGGGGTTCACTGAGAAACCCTGGGCCAGTGTCTCTCCGAGGACACAGATCTCCTGGAAGATCTCCTAAGTCACACAGGAGAGGGAGCGGAAGGCAGTTGATCAACCTGAGTTACAATCAGCCCTTGGAGTGAATGCAGTCCCTAAGTCAAGGGTCCACTGTAATGTTTAAAGAGCATAATAAACTGTACATGTAATGCTTGTATTTCCATGTACTTAAATCTTAGCCGTGTTAAAATGCAGTCCATTGTCACAATATAATTTTCCTTTGGGCCAATAATGCTGCTCAAAAGTTGCACTGCCCGGGGCCACGCCCCCACCCCAGGCCACTGGCCGAGGCCACAGCCTCTGGTGACGAGGATGTCCGCTGCCCTTGCTTTGGCGCAGGGTGCGTCCCAGGCCTCGGAGCAACTCCCTCACTTGCAGGAGTTCAGAGTGGCGGGAACTGTGAAAGTCAACCCCGATGCACCGCAGAGCAGCGCCCGCTTCCTGGTGCTGCAGGTAAGCGCTGCTCCTCTGCTGTCTCCCTGCCAGGGGTCTCACCTGGCCTCCCAGAACATACAGGGCCTGGACGCTTTTGCCGGAGCGCAGGAAGTGAAGGTGGACCCCGACAAACCGCTGGAAGGCGTGCGGCTGCTGGCCCTGCAGGTACCCAGCCTTCCCCAGGCTTGACCCCCCTGCCGGGACAGGCACTGGGGGCCAGAAAGAGCCGTGCTTCTGACCCCCGAGCAGGTAGCCCCGAAGTCTCTGTCACGGTCACCTTCAGGCCCTCAGCCCAGTCCCCATGTCTCCCAGCTGGGAGATACAGGGTGCTCAGAGCCAGGGTCGCTGCTGGGGCCGCTTAGAGAGGGATCAGTGGGCTTGCTGCTCTTGCTTCATGAATGAGTAAGAGTTCTTTGAGACACTAGCTTTGTAATTAATTCTTTGAAACATGTTAACTTTGTAATTAATTCTTTGAAACATGTTAATTTTGTAATAAAGCCTTTGAGACATTTTAACTCATCAGTAAGAAATTCAGTAAATGTGGTGGCGCAGGCCTGCCATCCTAGCACTCAGGAGGCTGAGGCAGGATGACCGCTCGAGTTGAAGGCCAACCTGGGCTACATAGTGAGTTCAAGACCAGCCTGAACTACATAGCGAGACCCTGTCTCAGAATAAATCTGGTAATGTGGCCCCACTATTAAATGACAGCATTGATTCTCAGCTTAAATGCTCAGGCTTCTTTTGAGGAAAAGGAAAAAAGAACTCCCCAAGTTGATTTAAATGAATGTGTTACAGTTTTACTTAATCTGTACAAACATAACACTCGGTATAAATTGTGATGCTTATAGCTCTTATGCAACTGTGAAAACAAAGCACATAAATTAAATGCAGACAAAGCTATTAGAGACCCCTGCAATCAGGCTCCAGTCCCCACCTGCCCAGTATACAACGCAAACCTGAGGAAAAGGCACGAGGAGACAGAGCTGAGGGAGGACGCGGGGCCAGGACGGCCAAGGCTGGTGCAAACGGGGCCAGCAACGTGGCAGTCAATGGAAAAGGCTCATGGAGGACAGACACCGCATTCTCGAGTGAGGGACAGAACAGGCCATACATGCTTGCAGGAACACTGTCCTCCTTGCCTGAAGGGTTAGTTGTGGGAGAGGAATCTGGGTGCGAGTTACTCCGGCCTCGCACGTAGGCTTCAGCCCGTTGTGGGGCTCACTCTGCACAGCCTGCCTTGGGCAGAATCAGAGTTATGGTCCTCTGCATCTGCCCCTCTCTGTGAAGTGGCAGCGGCATCAGGCTGGATCCCCGTAGGCCCCAGGGCCGTGGCAAGTGAGGGAGTCGCTCAGATGCAGCCTTCGTGTGGCCTTGCAGGGTGTCACATGCTGCAGCTGGGTCCACGGTGGTCCATTCTGGGATGGTGACCAGCATCTTCTTATTTTCTGTTGAAAAATAAGCACAGCCTGGCCCCCATGTTATTGTATCGAGCTATGTACCTTTTAGATAGGACATCCCGTGACAACACTAGTGTCTGGGACGTGTCTGTAGACCCATCTTCGTATATGTTTACTTTCCATGAGTGGATCTAAAAGGTTCTAAATGAAAATAACCAGATCTGATTGAGCTTGTGGACATGGCTATTTATGTATTTGTCTCTTTAGGGTAAGGTGAGTACACCCATGGCTTGTCCCATGAATTACCCACTGGACCTTGTCACGAACACTTACAATGTGTCTAACTGACTTAGCTGCCTAAAATTCCTTTATAAAGAGCAGCTCCTACTGTGAAAGAGAGGGGAGAAAAGGCATAGTTTCAACCAGCTGCTTTGATCTGAGAAGGTTCGATGTAGGAAAGACCAGTTAGGGGGGTCTCTTTAGGAAGCTAACTTAATAGGCCTTATGTAAAAATCATGTTGCAATTATAAAGTCTTTATAAAGTCAATCTGGTGGATTTTGGTTTTAAAAAAAATCTAGCACATCTGTTAAACTATTTCTAAAGGACTAAAATAGTGATTGTAACCTGCTGGCTCTTAGACCCTTTTATTAATGGAGGTTATCTACCAGTCTGATATTTGTCATAATTTTTCTTTTAATTTTAGCTGTAAGAAGATTGAAAATTTAGTAATTAAAAAAAACAATTTTAGCTAAAAATTTTTAAAACTCTTGTTGCAGTCTATAAATTTTACCATGGCTTTTTTTATTGACCCATAATAGGGGTGAGTCACCAGTGTAGTTGGAGACTGACAGGGGTCAGCAGTTGGAGCCCCTTCTTACATCCTGCTTTATTCCTATGGTCTTGACTTCTTATATCTTTGGCTTATCCTGTTCTACTGGGTGTTCAAGGCCAAGTTAAGGTGAGACCTGTATTAATTAAAATTAGCCTCTTGAGCCGGGCGTGGTGGGGCACGCCTGTAATCCCAGCACTCGGGAGGCTGAGGCAGGAGGATTGCTGTGAGTTCCATACCAGCCTGGGCTACATAGTGAGTTCCAGGTAAGTCTCAACTACATAGTGAGACCCTGTCTCAAAATAACCAAAAAAAAAAAAAAAAAAAAAAAAAAAAAAGCCTCTTGCTGTCCATCAAGGTCAGTTTTGTCTCCTCGGGCATCACTTTGAACCCTGTACAGAGCTCTCAGCACCTGTCCGCGTCAGCCATCAGGATGTGTCACGGCCCTGCTTGTGAAAGTGTGGCAGACTTTTCCCTACAAGTGGTGCTCCTTTGGCACACTACTGATTCTTATGTTTTCAGTGTCCAACAATCTCCCAGCTCAGGAGGTTGGGTGACTTACGAAAGTTGTAGATCCTTGTAGAAAAGGTCCTTCACGTCCTGAGTTATTTGTAGACCTTGAAGGGCCAGGGCCAAAATATTGGCTGTCTTCTTTGCCCAGTTACCTTTCTACTTCTGGCCTCTAAACTTCAGTTGTTCAACACCCAGAAGAGAAGATCAATAACATTATTATTGCAATGGGAATAGTGAATTTAATTACTATAATTTTATCTGGATATCGAGCACTTTGAAATATAAAATATAGTTAGAAGCCTTATTTTTTTATCAATCATGGTTGTTCTAGTAGTTGAATTCCTATAAAATGTTAACAGAAAAAAGCTTCAACTCAGAAGCCACACATAATATTTTAGCATGACAATCATGATGACATTATCTTTGTAACACACTTAATGTCTATCTCATATAAAATAGGCATTGTTGAACACACTCATTCTCCTCCAAAAACAAACATTTCTCATCTAAATTATCATTTGATAGGATGCCATCTAAAGAAAATACATCAGCCTATAAATGTGCCTGTTATCAAAGGGAAAGGCATACACCAGAATCAAAAGGTTTTTATCATAAATAAAGTATTAGAAAACCTGCACAGTCAGCATGGGTTCAGTTAGTACACCAGAAAACTAACAATCCTAATTACCATAATTGTATGTATGAAACCTTACACCCTTTATTTAGTATATGTGCTGCCTAAGCGAGCACAATGCCCTTTGATACCAAAAGCATCTTTTTAATAAAACCTTGGTTTTTTTCACAGAAAATTTAATCTTTTGAAGATGACCAGTGTAAACATATCACAATAACACATTTAGAACTCAACCCTTTGATGACAATCAATGTAAACATAATACAGTAACATTTAACTAAATATATTGATGCAAGTCTCTTTGTGTCTGTAAATGCAAACTTTTTATAATAAACTTGAAATCAACAAGCAGTCGTACATATTTCCTTGATAAATCACTCTGCACACCTCGATGTACCTTGGCCTTCTGGCCTTTATGTCTCTCTTTATCCTTCTAACAAGACAAACATACCAAAGCTTTTCATAGCAAAAGTATATCTCTTCTACTTACAGCTTTCTTAGTATTTTTCCTCCATCTTAGTTACTATAAATCTTCTATAGAAATCTTGCCTTCAGCTGTTAAAATTTTAAAGTGACTTTTTTTATCAACAAAGTACAGAAAAGAGCAAGTTAACCCTATAATTATAAGAATTTGCAATGCATAGAAAATGTTTTAAGCACACCAATTAAAAGTGAAACAGATATTAATCAGATGGTTAAACTTCGTAACTTGATTTCTCTTGTAGAATGTCTCATGTCCGGTAGAGAGCAGTTGTGGTTTCTCTGGCTTTGCTCCTACTCCAGACCTTCACAAGCAGTATCGAGCTGATAACACAGCACTGGCCTTTGGGCTCTTCAAGCCTGGAGTGTTTTCCTCTATTTTGCTGTATGTTCTTCAGAGCTTCCCTGGCTCTTTTCAAGCCACTACTTATTTTCTCATTTTCGTTCTTCCCATGCTGAGTGCAAGCCCTGCTCGACCCTCTCTGAGTCCGACCGCGGCACTTCCTGCCAGGCAGCTCCCATGCTTTTCCCTTGCCTCCTCCGCACCTGTGATCCTAGCAGCTCAAGCGGAGGGGGAGGCGGTGGGGTTTGCCTGTAACGATGTCACATTTTCTGAGCGAGGCAAGTCCACTGTGTGAAAGATGGCAGGTCTGGCAAGCAGCTGTTCTCAAACCAAAACTAGACAGTTCTCACCAGTGGCTTATTTGCCTCGGAGCAGAAGCTCGAGCGGCTCCCAGGCTCCGTTGTTTGTGCCACAGAATTGCACACAAGGCTCCAGGTTGTCAAGGTCTCAGTTAAAGTCTCAACGGAGATAACTTTTCTTCTTTGTTGAGCTGTCTGGATGTTATTTTTGACATGCTCTCTAAGTTCCATAACTGAAGTTCTTGTTTGTGAAAAATGATAATTATATTTAACTATCCTTTGCAGCATTTATTTCAATACTGCAGGCCAGCTTGGGCCGGAAGTGAGTGTTTTTGTCCCAGCTGACTACCTTTACTACCGTCTTGTATCTGAAGCACATACTTATCTTTTTTTTCTTGGACTTTGTACTTGTCCTTGATGTTGACTTGAGGAGCACTGCATTGTGGTTTCTTTTCTTTTTCTTTTTTCTTCTGAGTAGCCCCACTGAGCAGGTGGTTGCATGTGGTTTAAGCCCCACGGTGGATGCCAATTGTTAAGAGACCCCTGCAGTCCCAGCCTGCCCAGTGTGCGATGCCGGCCTGAGAAAAACATAACACTAGGAGACAGAACTAAGAGAAAGCGGAGGCCAGGACAACCAAGGCCAGTGCAACTGACAAAGGCGCTGGCCAGTCCCAGGCACTGAGCTTTATTGGTAATCAATTGGGGTAAAGGCGATGTGTGGTTTCTGTGGAAATTAATGTAAACAAGGTTCATAAGGACAAGACACAGCATTCTCAAATTAAGAATAGAATAGATAAAGTGTATGATTGTAATTAGAACATTGTCCTCGTCTGAAGGTTTTAGTTGTGCAAACAGAATCTGGGTGCAAGTTACTCTGAACTGGGCACGTAGGCTTTCGCAAGACTCACTTCTGTAAACAAGCCAGTTGTGGGGCTCACTCTGCACAGCCTGCCTTGGGCATAATATATTGCTCTGCAGCTATAAAAGAAGTAACATTCAAAGGACCCCATTAATTTAATATAATGGCTGCTCTTGCCTTGCTGATGGGAGCCTCTGCCTTCGCACTGAGTGCCATCTCCGTCCCTTTTTTATTTTTTACTTTTGAGGCAGAGTCTCACTGAGACATTAAGTTGTCCAGGCTGTGCTCAGATTACAACCCTCCTACTTCAGCCCGCCCCCACACCCGTTCGGGGATGACAGGTGTGGACCACCGCACCTGCAGGCAGAATTTGGGGCTGTGGCTGGACCCGGCCAGCTCTGGGCAGGAGCGCGTCTGATCCCTCAGGCCCCCGGGAGCCTCCCGTAGCCGGGGCGGGCGGCACCGAGGTGAGGTCATCTTGAACCCGCTTGATGATGCTGCTTTGCGGCCCTGGGCGCGGGTGGGGAGCGAGCAAGCACCAGACGCGGGTAGTAACTTCCTTGACGCTGTGCGGCTTTGCCGCCAGAGGGCGCCAGAGGGTGCAGAGTGAGCTCCACAGCTGGCTGGTTAACCCGCGTCGGGCGCGCCGGCCTTTCCACAGCGACTGCGCCCCGCCACTGCGGCTCCCTCCCTGCCCCACGGTACCCGGCAGCGACAGTCGGTTTTGTAACTTTTTGATTGTCCTTCTATTGAAAGAGCCAAAAAACACTGCTGGTTCCAACTCCGCGACTGAGGACGGGGCTGTTTAACAGGATTACGCCACCCAGCGGGGCGACAACAGCGGAGCTGCGCAGGTGCGCCACCGCCCAGGTGCGTGACCCCGCCCAGGTGCGCGACCCCGCCCAGGTGCGTGACGCCGCGTGCCCGAGCGTCAGTGTGACGTCAGCGAGCAGGGGCAAAGCCGGTTGCGCTGGAGATGCTTTAGCGTTCAGAGCCCAGTAGCACTGTAAATAACGGTCCTGTCGCTGTCGCTCGGTCTGTGAGTCACACGTTCGCCGCGCGTCCTCCCAAGTGACGGCTGAGGCTGCACAGTCTGGGATAGCCTAGTGTGGAAGCTTTACCCGAGAGTGCTTACAATTGCCTCCTATTTTACAACTAAGTAAAATTTGCTGTCCTTTTTAAGAATCCTAAAGTAAATCCCAGGTGGTTTGTTCCTGATCTACTCAGAATAAAAAACAAATAAGGCAATTCAAGATAGTCCTTGATAAAGGGATTGCCCTTCAGTGTAGCTTCTGAGGACTAAGTGATTTATTATTCATCGATATCCTCTCGTTCAAAAAATAGAATTTACTGTTTACTGTGGCTTAAAATATATACAGTATGGAGAGAGAGAGAGAGAGAGAGAGAGAGAGAGAGAGAGAGAGAGAGAGAATTGGAGAGAGAGAGAGAGAGAGAGAGAGAGAGAGAGAGAGAGAGAGAGAGAATGAAGCAGTAAAAGTAAAGGTAGGGAAGTCAGCCTCCTGGGCTCCCAGGGCTGCTGCAGCCCCAGCCTGGCCCCACGTCCCAGTCCCACGTCCGAGTCCCACGTCCCAGCCCCACATGTGGCCGGACACACGTGCAGGTGAGGGTTTCGCAGCCAGGCCCAGGCCATGTGGACCCTTCCAGGATGGTGACTGCGGACTGTCACGGAGTCCGTGTCCTGTGCCTGTGCCATTTCTCCTTTGTGCCCAGCTTCCCGGGAGAGAGACTGGGGGAGACGTACCTCAAAATGGCTGCTGCAGTAGGGTCCCAACCTCGGATCCCGCTCTGGGTGGTGGGGTTTGAGCCGCTGCCCCAATCTCTGGCCGGGAGACAGGACCCGACCCAACATGGTCTCCCCATGCAGGGTGTGAGGAACTTCAGCGTCCCCGTGGGCTTGGACTCCAGTGTCCATGTGGATTTGGTGGTGGTGGGATCTGTGGCCGTCTCCGAGAAAGGTAAGACGGGGACAGGCGCTCCTGGCGCAGCCCAGCCTGCTCCCTGCATGTGGAGCTGTCCCTGGGAAGGGTGCTGCTGGGGACCCAGGCCTGGAGCCCGTCACAGTCCGCGCAGGAAGCGCCGAGTGCAGGGGAGGCGAAGGCGGTCCTGCTGCAAGGCTGCACCTTGGCCCTCCGGCTGCAGGGGACCTGAAGCCCGGGTGAGCGACCCCCATTCTGCCTTGGCGGTGTGCAGCGGTCCTGCTTGAGCCCCTGGCCCTTGGCTGTGCCCAGCAGGGATGGGAAGCTGTGTCACCAGGCGTCACCCAGCCCGGCCTGGAGCTTTCGGCTCTCTGAGGTGGACGGATTAGAGCCGCTGTGCCTCCGCAGGAGTGTTCTGTCCCACGCGGTCTCTCCTCTCGGTGCATGTAGTGTGAGGCTCACAGACACAGCCAGCATAGGCGAACTGTTTCTCTGGCAGCTGGAAAAGTTCAGATCGCTCTTCCTGTTTCCGCCTGCTGCTTGTGCGGTTGCCGTGGAAACCAGGAGGCAGGAACCTTGGCTTCAGGTCCCTTCCCGGGGCCCCAGCCACCGACCCTCGCCCTGTCCCTCAGGCTGGAGAATCGGGAAGGGAGAAGGTTATGCGGACCTCGAGTACGCCATGATGGTGTCCATGGGAGCCGTCCGCGAGGGGACGCCCGTGGTCACTACCGTCCATGACTGCCAGGTGCGTCCTGGGCCGCCCAAGTGAGGAGGGTGGACACTGTGGCCACAAGCCACGCCAGCCCCAGCTCCTCCTCCCGTCTTCCCTGATTAGGTCCTGGACTTCCCGGAAGCCCTGCTGGAGGACCATGACCTTACGGTTGACTACATTCTCACTCCGACCAGGGTCATCGCCACAGGCTGTGAGCGCCCGAAGCCAGCAGGCATCACGTGGTCCAAGGTGGGTGGTCAAGGCACAAGGCAAGGCTGCCGCCTCCCACCCTGCCTGGCCCAGCGCCGGAAGCCCCAGCAGAGCTTGGGCCGGGGTGGCGCCCACACACATCACTGGCCCAGGTCTGTCCCGTGGGCAGCAGAGGTGACCTGTGGTGGAAGTGGCAGGAATGACCTGGAGGGCGGCGTCCTGGCCCATTTGGCAGCTGCTTTTCACCCTTCAGCACAAGGCAAGGCTGCCGCCTCCCACCCTGCCTGGCCCAGCGCCGGAAGCCCCAGCAGAGCTTGGGCCGGGGTGGCGCCCACACACATCACTGGCCCAGGTCTGTCCCGTGGGCAGCAGAGGTGACCTGTGGTGGAAGTGGCAGGAATGACCTGGAGGGCGGCGTCCTGGCCCATTTGGCAGCTGCTTTTCACCCTTCAGCACTGTCCCCTGTGCCCCCTCGGGGCGGTCTGCTGGCTGCTGCAGTCCTTCCTCAGTAATTGCTGGGCGTCCTGTTGTAGATGCGGAACAGCAAGCAGGCCAGTGGCGTGGGCACAGAGCCCCGGCCCCGTGGCTTTCTCTGCCACCCTGGTCTCGCACACATGACAGTCAGTCTACAGTAGGGGTTTGTCCCCGGAAGCCCACAGCTGTGTCTGCTGACAAACAGCCAGAGCCTCTGAGGAAACAGGGAGCAAACATGACTGCCAGATTCTTTAAACCCAAATCACCCAGAGTTTAGGCCCGTTGAAAATCAGCATCCATCGCCACGGATGAACAGGACCTTAAGTGCTGGGCACTGTGGCCTCAGCTGGCAGGCAGTACCTTTGCCTGCAGTGCCAGGGGTGGACAGTGTCAGCGCCTGGTCGTTCTGGGTCAGCCAATAAGAGCAGAGGGCAGTAGTTCATGCAACCCAGAAGCAGATCGGCAGGCCCCTCCAAGGGTACCAGGAGTGCCAGGGAGAAGGTGCCACACCTTCCTAAAAATCAAGATGTCCTTTAGCGTCTTTCCAAAGAGCTTGGGTCCCCTCAGAATTTGGGTACAGCTTCCCGGGGGCTGGAGGCTGCCCACAGATGGCAGTGAGGCCAATGTCTCCCTGTCCCTGGGGCAGGTGCTTGGGGGCTGCCCACGGCTCAGCCCTCAGCAGGGCTAGGAGGCGAGCATTAGGCCAGGGTCCACTGCTGCCCTGTCAGGAAGAGTCCAGGTCTGTCTGGGAGAGAGGTGTTGGGGTCACCTGCTCACGTCCTACAATTCTTCCCAAGAAGGGTCTCAACGGTGCCATGCTTGAAGTCAGTGAACCTGTCAGACCAGTGCACTGTGGCTTATGTCTAGATGCCCCCGAAGAGGCAGGGCTTGTGGGAGGGATGATTATGGGGTGGCACTGGTGGCTTGCTGTTGGGAGGCAGAGCCTGGTCAGAACAGGCGGTCAGTGGGCCATGGCCTGGAAGGGTCCATCTCCCTCCCCAGCTCCTCCCTTCCCGCTCTGCCTCTTGGCCACCATGAGGTTAGCATCTTCTTCCGTCAGACCCTTCCGCCATGCTGTTCCTGCCTCAGAGCCTGCCTGCCGTGGACCGAAAACCGGAGCCCAAGTGACCTCTCCTTTAAGTTGTGGGTATCGGGCATTTTGTCCCTGCCACAGGAAAGTGACGGAGATAGAGTGTGACCCCCTTACCTGTGGGCAGAACCAGGCCCACCAGGCCTCCCCAAGCCACCAGCTCCAGAGCCGCATTTCACCCCTCCCAGGAGACGTCGTGACGGTGGGGTCCCCGCTTTCAGATTTATCACCAACCAGTGACCCGTCTGTCTGCACTTCATCACTGTCCTGTCCCTGTGACGCAGTACCTGGTGCCCATTGCTGAGAGGTGGGAGGAGCAGGGCAGAGGAGAGCCGGAGGGGGACGGCTGCTCCCAGCCCTGCCCTGCAAGCACCCTCAGGAGCCCTCCCGAACACGGTGCCCCCATGAGTGCCTTCAGGAAGCCCCGCCTGTGAGCCAGGGCACTTAGGGAACCTCCAGATTCAGCCCCTGGCAGGCTGCCTCGGTCTTGTTCTGCCTGCAGCAGAGTGGATTTTCACTGACGTTTGTTGAGGAAAACCCCAAATTCCAGTAAAGAGTTGGGGTGGGGAGGGGGACAGTTTGATGCAGGGCTCTGGTGTCCCCCCCCACCCGCCCCTGTGGCCACATTGCGCTCGCCTCCCATCTGGTCTCCGGAACAGGAGTGGCCAAGGCAGTGGCTCTCACAGGGAGGGTGGGGAGCGAACCACACATGGTTTCTTTCCTCACCTGTCCCAGCTGCGTCTGATCCCTGGCCTCGCTCCACCTTCCCGAGCTCAGCAGCACCGGGACCCCTCTGCCCTCCGTCTCCACCCTGTGACACGGGGCTTAGAAACAGGACACCAGGCAGCTGGTGAATGTGTGGCCGGTGCCCACCAGCACCCCCCGTGTGTGACCTCAGACAAGGACGGGCAAGTGCGGGAGCTTAGCTCAGTGCTCAGGAAAGTCGGCTGCCCTCTTCCTCACTGTTGTCACGGGGACGAGACCAGGCTGCCCATCAGGGAGCCCCTCCCTAAGGACTCGGGGCGGGGTTCACCCCGAAGCGAAGCGAGAGACCCCATGTGGCGGGCCTGGGCCAGAGCTCAGCTTGACAGGTCCTGGAGCCCGGCCGGTGCCTCAGTGTGGGCTCTGGGAGAAGGATCTTCCCTGGGCTGCTCTCAGTGACCCGTGTGGCCACTGCGGGATGGAACCATCTGCTCCTGGCCTTGGATGGGCCCCGTGGGGCCTTCGCTGGAGGGTCACGGCACAGCCCCCTGCACCCCATGGAAGGCAGCTGCAGGCAGCGGCCCCTCGGAGCCCTTTCTGCCCCTGGTGTGAAGGACAGGAGCCGTGCAGTGCCGAGGCGGGCATGGCGTCTGGAGGCTGCCCCCACCCTGCCTCCCTGCCTGGACCCCGAGCTTGCTGTCCCCCTGCCCATCCCTGTCATAATTCACCATGGCCATCTGGAAGCCTCCGGAAGCATTTTCAGCAGTGAATGAACTTTCATCTCGGGCAGGGAGCCGATCACCTTTGTGGGTAGAATTCAGCATCCGGGACCTGCCAGTGCCTGTCTGCCAGCGGCTGTCGCACACCCTGGAGTTTAGGGTTAGGGATTTCCGGCTCTTCCGCCCAACTGAGGCTGGAGCCCAGGCCTCACCTCAGGCTGGCAGCACAAGTGCTGGGCTGGGATTCTGACCTGGCCACCCCGAGCCTAGTCCCCGGGACGGGGCTCTGAGCACTGCGTACGGGACGTGGACTGTGTGTGACCGACATCCTCATGCTTGAGCGAAGAAGGGTTTTAGCAGGTAAACAACAGCTGGCTGTGCGTTCTGATGTTTTTTGGAGAATGGAATGATTGCTCAAGGAGGTGAGAAGGTGGTTTTCTGTTTGATGAACAAGCAGGACCTTTCATTCCATGTGGCAGGTTGACAGCCTGTGATGATTGCTTCTCACTGCAGGCCAGGACACGCAGAGCGGCACCGCAGATCAGCTGTCCGGCCACCGGCTGGCCCTGAGAAGGCGCCCGTCCACTGTGGCCCGAGAACCGAGCCTGCCACAGACACAGGCGGGAGGGCCGGGCACAGCCTCTGGCCTTCGCTCTAGGAAGGGGCACGCTGACCGGCCCAGGCGGGCCCCGCCCAGCTCCGGCTGCCTCTGGGGCCCTGCCAGGCACCTCGGTCAGGGCTGGCTTCTGCCAGAGGGAGCCTGGCGGACCCGGGACAAGCAGGAGGGAGCTCAGGCCTGCACTGGAAGTGCCATGTTTGCCTGGACAGAGGCCTGGCCCCTGCCGTCAAGCTCCAAAACAGCCGCTTCCTGTCACCCAGATGACACTACCTCTGCTTCCTCTCATAACTGAAGTCCTGGACGTGCTCGTCTGTCATGAACCCTCCGGAGATCCAGTGACTTCGGATTCCTGAGAGCTGAGCTGTGACTCAATCTGGGGTCGGGCATCCCAGAAGAGCCCCGGGATTGGCTCACGAGAACAGCGCAGAGGCCGCGGGGCTACTGGGTGTAGGCACAGCATGGTTGGGTGCGTGGCTGCACCGTGGCTGTGGCCTGACGTGGCTCGTTTCCTCTGCGTCTCAGGTCTGCCCGTGGGCATGGGTCCCGCCGTGCAGCGTGGCACCCAGTGTGTGGGTCGGGCCAGGCATGCAGGCACCACTGCCCGGCATCTGTGTGCCCCTCCTGTCCCCTGTGCTGGTTTGGAATAGGCACTCTGGGTGGGAGCCCCACAGCGGTCAGAGCCTCCATCTCCTGCCGTCGGGACAGTGCGGCCCCAGGGCTGCCCCCTGCCTCCCTCCTCTCTGCTTCCAGGTGTGCACGTTCGTGGGAGCCGGCTGTGCACCTTGGTGCCTTGGCAGGGCTGCTCCTGGCCTCGGTGCCAAGGGAAGGGCTCCATGTGGGGACCACCAGGCGGCCAAGTGCACCTGCAGGTCCCTGGCCCCCTATCGACCTAACCACGCTCACTCTGCCCGGCAGTGCCCTCGAGGCTCCTCGGGCTTCAAACCAGGGGAGCTCAAGGGGTCAGGCCTCGGCTAGACCCCAAAGGCAGGAGCCTGCTCTGGTGTTGACCCCTCCGCCTCCCAGGGCCAGTTCCCAGGAGACACTCAGTGGTCGCTTGCCCCGGTCCAGAGAAAGCCAAGAGGCCCCTGTGTAGCAGTACCATTCAGCCAGGCGTGGTGCTGGCGACACATGCCCTTAATCTCAGCTGTTTGGGAGGCTGAGGCAGGAGGATTGCAAGTTCAAGGTTGGCCTGGGCAGTTTAGTAAAATCCTGTCTTAAATAAGGGCTGAGAGCGAGGCTCAGTGGCAGAGCATTGGCTTAGCGTGTGTGAGGTTTTAGGTCCGATACTGAGTACTGACAAAGGGAAGGAAAGGGGCCCACAGATGGGCACCCGGTCCTCCGTGGCGTTTGCTTCCTGGCTGGAGCATCCTCTGAGGAGTGGTTGGCAGAGGTGGCATCAGACTCAGTAGTTTCTCCTGTGTCTTTGGCAAGGGTGTGACCCTGAGAGACGTCCCGGGAGGAGCCCGAGCCCAGTAAGGGCCTCTTCGTCCCCCGCACCGGGAGGGACGGGCGTGGGTCCCACCAGAGCCTTGGCTTCCATGTTCCACTTCCGGCTGCTTCGGCACAGGGCCGGGGCTGGGCACTGGCGCAGTCCTTAGTCCCTGGGATGCCTGGGGACAGCAGGGCCTCTTTCCTCTTCCAGATCAGCGGGGAGATGCTGGAGAGAATCCCGGTGCTCCGAAGCCTGCGCGAGCGAGAGAGGCGGGCAGGGAAGGACGTCACCCTGCGCACCGTCGGGGGACCCCAGCGCGCACCCCAGCCGGAGACGGGCG